CTCCCTATATGTAGAATTTGATTATTGTATAAATATGTATGCTTGTCGTTGCTCGTTTGGACGGGGCTGTGCGGACAGAACGTGCATTACCAAAAATCAGATTATAATTCAAAACTGCAAATTGCTGTTGGCATAGGTCAAAATGTTTGACACTTAATCCAATTTAAATATAAATTTTACATCAGTAGGGAATACAAAATTAAGTAGATTGCCAAAATTGGCTGAACGTCAGCTTTTATAATATTAAAATGAAGCGGGCCATCTGGCTGACAGCCGTATTACAATATTTAGAAGTATTTTATTACATATAAAAAGCTAAAATTTTGCAAACTGAGTTCAAGTTTTTAATTGTTTCTATAAACTTAGATATATATTATGAAACTCGTTATTTCTTAAGATAATTTTTAGTAAGCTTTAGCTTGAATAAATCAACTCTATAACTGATCGCCTATCCATAATGTATCGAAGAATTTTAATCATTTGTATATATGAGTTGTATATTTATGAGAATATCATATGTAGGGCGGTCAGTTATTAACAAAAGACATTTGACTGAACTGCGTGGGCCATTGACTATATATTGATATCCATCTGCCAACATTTCTCAATTGTATCCGCTTTACGCAGATAAAAAATATATTGTTGTAAAAAGTGTAGCTGTCAAAAACGTCCGAAACGTGTCAAATTCATGATGGCCCATTGAAATATGATTGTGAGTGCAAATCCATCTGAAATCGTGAGACATTGCTATAAATTTTATTTTATAGTTGGCACTGGGGATAGTGCTTAGAAGCTGTGAACTTTAACGACTGTTGAATATAGCGGCAAACACATAACAGGTACACAGGCTCAAATATGTGCTGCAAAGGCTCTAAAGTAAACATAATGGACGTGTTTTTACGTTTCAGTTGTTAAATATCACGCTTGCATATAAAACCAGCTTAAAAATGCATGCATAAAAAAATACTTTTGTGCTATGTGGGGGCAAAGTGTTTACAGGATTTTCATGGTGCGGCAACGTGGAAAATTACCCAAGCCTAAACTAACTAACCATAACATAAATAAATTATGATTATTTATGCACAGCTACGTATGAGACCTAATAAGCTGACATTTAGGTACACACACAGGCAGCCTCTTTTAGTGCTGTTAACCTATTAAGAGTTGAATACTTGTTCATTTTTTGTTAAATTCTGACAGCTGACATAAAAACTAAAAACTCAAAATGTCTTTGGTGTGTGGAATATTTTGAGCATATACACTAAAATTAAATCAACGTCACGGTGAAAACCTCATGCAAAATATATATTATACAAACAGTCAGGAAGACAGCCAACTATAAGAGGAAGCGACATTCATTGGCAAAGAAAGAACTTTAATTTTTCATGGCAACGACACCATATGAGTTTTACCTGGCGTGCGTCTATGGTGATTCAGGTGCATGGCACATTAAATATAAATGGGTGCACAGCCCAATATAACAGCAACAACAAGACCTCCAACACCAAAAAGCAACTCCGGCAACTCGCTTGCCAATGCTGAGCTGTATTGAGGCAGATGCACGTCTCAATGCTGGGACACAGTACTCCACAGTTCGGTTTTATTATTCTTTGTCGCAGCCTCGGAGATTACTACAATACTTAAAGCACGACGAGGCTCTCTTTTTTTTCTTGGAAAGTAAAAGAGACAACAGCTTGTTGTTGTATTAAGAAAAATATTTTTGGTATATGTCACGTGATTTCTTTTTTTTTTGAGAAATTGCTTTATTGTGACACTTTCTACGTGGCTTTCTAAGGCTTTCAGCTAAGTACGTTTCCTTATTAATCGAAAATTTGGTAAACAATTTTAATATATGCTACCGCAGTTTCAATGCGGTGAGAGCATACTATTAATTAACGCGATCTTATGTTTAATAATAGTTATGTTTACCCAACACACACAGACAACATCCAGCATTTCCATACCAACGATTTGTGGTTGCGGTGAGAGCTGCACGACGCCACGTCCCAAACTGTCGTCGGGCAACCGCAGACGCACTTCAGTAGGCAAAGCCAAAGGCGGGCTACCCTCAGAAGAGGTAAGCTTCACGCATGGGTGTCACATAAAGTCAAAAAATTAACTATTTCATGGAAGACTTGTCGCTCAAGAAAAAATAAAAATCAACACCATCCTTATGCAAAAGTCGTGAGATTGCCTTTCGCACCTTGCGCTTAGATTGCGTATGAGTTATGAGCTCGTTCATTTTGCTTGATATTATTAGTCTTGCGTGTAACCTTAAGTAAATTTTATTAACGACTTATTAGCGTGAAGCATGAGGAACTTTGAAGCTCAGTTGCTTTTAAAATTAAAAGCAAACAGCTGGCGTTCTATTTGTGGCCACCGCTCTGGTTAAGGAAAAACAAATTTACGCATTTTTGAGGGAATACAGCAACAGGCAAAATGTGAGTGTCACGGCCGCTTGTCTGCAAATTATCTAAGCCGGAAATGAAGAGCAGTGTCAAAAGGAAGTTTGACTTAATGTACTAATGTAAAATATTTCGTAAGCGTTTGTTAAGCAGAAACAGCTTTACAAATTGTGTATATCTCTATATATAAAACTGTTTGTCCTGACTGACTGACTTATTGACTGACTGATTGATGATCACGCACAGCACATACCGTAAGACCTCCGAAGCTGGAATTTTCACTGTAGTTACCCTATGTGATGAAGGTACACGTTAAGACAACGTTTCGCGAAATTCCACACGCATGTGTGGAAAAATCGCGAAAAACGATTTGTATGAAACTTTTTTGTTAACCATCCGATCAGCCTCAAGCTTATTTTAAAATGTCTTTGTTCAAATTCATTTGAGGGGTGTTTGCGATTTATGAAATTTCGCCGCAACAATCTTTTTGAGAATTTATTTTATACGTGCCACGGGCAAGGCCGGGGTGTACCCGCTAGCAGCTATATATATTACTTAATGTTTATATATAAAAATAACCTTTTGAGTAAACTTAAGACACATTTATATACATATGCATTCACAATATATTTCATGCTCGCACAGTAGTATAACTAATAGAAGATAGCTTTTCAATATATATATATAGATTAAATTTGACTTGATCAAAAATTATTACTGAAACTTTTTTACCAAGCCCACAATTCCGTATGATGGGGCCATGTCTGCATGACTTTGAACGATAAAAACTTTTACTAACAAAACGACCAAAAGAAGAAAAATGTGAAAAAAAATGTTTGAGACATGAATTCTTGGGGAAAAATGACACATAATTTGAAAAGTTGCGGCACGGAAAGTGTAAAAAATATTTAAGTTTCGCTCAAGTGGCATATACATTATTGAAAGAACGAAGCTGACGCCTGTAGCTTGAATGTTTATGGAATCCTGAAAAGGTTAATTATTCAGCCACGAAGTTGCTTTTGCTTTAATAATCAATCTAAAAGCAGAAATGGTGCGTAACTTGTGACTGGGCATATACATTTATATTTCTATGTACATAAGAGTATATCTGACGATAAGTTAAGCCATTGTGTTCATATTAACGACAAACATTGTTTACTGTTGTTCAATGGCGAGCTAACCCCTTAATGTACGCCATTGTTAAATTTGCATATATTTTCGATTGAATTTTAATTGAATTTATGACGAGGCGCTAAATTGTTTGCCTATGTGGCGCTGTCTGCCCCCCTTAATTTATTTATGTTTTGTTTTGGCGAAGCAACCAAATAATTTTTGCCCCCTAGAGTGTGCATTGTTTATCCAACACTCCCGGTACCCCAACCGCTGGCCCAGGGCTGAGGTCGTTGCAACGTTTGCTAATGGGGTCAACGGCTGCCTTTCCAGGCTTGCGAACAACTGGTAGTTGGGCTGTATGATCGCAAATGTTTCGTGTAATGGGTATCAAGCTTTAAATGCCTTTCCGATCTAGATGTCAATATTTTATTTGATTTACTCCCTTGCCGCAACATTGTCAGTTACTGTTTTTATTTACCGCCAACGCATTATATACCATTTTTGTTTTCCCTTAAGACTTAAGCACTTACATAATTAACTTTTATATTTGGCTCAGTGCTAGGTTTGCTCAGACCTTGGCTGCCAATGCTTCATTCACAAGTATCCATCTACTTTGAAATGTACTTCGTGTGCTTCGATTTTGATCCAATTATTGTTGTTGTTCTTTGAATTCCGCTGTTGGTTAAACTGACGTTTTTGTACTTTTCACACAAATGCTATTGCCGACTTTTCTGTTTCATGTCGTTTAACTGCCTGGACGTGTAATTTATGTCGTGACTTGCATCAGGCAGCCATCAAGCTACCATTAGACGTCATTCGTCAGCGAGTCTGAAACTTTAATTGCCCGCTCACTTTGAAAACAATTGCACACTAATAATTTTCACGCCTGGGCTACTGAGCTGCAGTTCACTCTTGCGTTCACACACACTGACGTGGCCAAGGTAATGGGCCAAGTTTTACGAAAGGCATTATGCCAACTTGTCGAATTTACGTTGGTATTTGGCAGCTAATTCCACAACCGCAGATTATTGTTAACATACGATCGCATCCTGTTGAAAAAGTCTTCGGCCAACCGCTGTCACGTCCGCGCCGTAGACCTAACCGATTCTGACTGAACTGTTCCTGGCATGGGCGCATTTAACATGTTCATAGCCGAGGAGGCGCACAACCTACAATCGGCAGTAGCCGGGCAATCGTCCACATTCAGTTCCTCGTGTTCCTTGCCATCTTCGGTTGAGCGTTCGGTTGGCATGAGTTAAGCGATTCGTGAGCTTTTTTAGTACACAGAGCGCTTTTGTATGGCCCGCTCATATCGTATGCGTTTTTAAGAGAGTGAAAAGAAGAGAGTAAGGATGTGAAAGGTACAGCATTAAGAGCGTGTGAATAGTTAGAACAAATGACCAAATTACGATAAAATTTAACCTCAGGTCTATCTAACGAAGTGGGCCATATTCTAGGCTAAGGGCTGAGGCCTTTGCCAGCTTTGTCATTTAAAATTTTAAGTCTTAAAGGCTCCAACTTGCTGGCATATATATATTTTATTAATTTAAATTCTTCTTGTAAGAGATATGACCAAATTTGACTGACCACGCTTTTCCTAATGTAGCAGCCAGCAACCAAGGAATAGAAGGCACAGAAAACCACAGTGGGACACACGCATTGTGCACCCGTGTCTATGTGTATGTTTGCCTGATTGTGTTTCTGTGTGTGCTGAGCGGGCGTTTCAAACGTTGTGGCTTTGCAAAATTCTTAAAAAAATATAAGAAAAAAGAAATATAGCACACAGAGCTGACGTCAAGCAGAGCAAAACCAGGAACAGCAGCCAAAACTGTTAACCTTTTGGGGATATCAAGCATTTACGGCAGCTCGCGGCAACAGTAACATTTAAGTTTTATCAGAACAAAATAAAGTTTTGCTGTACGGATTGCGCCGCCCACAAAACCAACACAAGAGTAAGGCAGAAGGCGTCTGGCAGCCACAAGTGCGCGCGCTTTCCCTCAAAGGACGCTTGAGGACTTAAAGCAACATTTTTTGTTGTTCTCCTGTTCGCTAAAGTTGCTTATCCCTTTCAATTTGATTTCTGCCAGAGAACTTAAGAGGGATTTAAATTTAGGTACAGAAGCAGTAACTATTCTTCGTTCAGGTGAGTCGCAAAAGTTGACGGGTGACGCCGTCTAGACGCGTTTTACATTATTTCCGCAGCAATTAAATGCAAATCAAATGTGACGACTGTCAGCTGGTATGAAAGCACGTGAAAACCGCTCACCATATGCGACATTCAGTGAACCATGTGAGCATCTAATTTGATTTGCATTTAGCTGCCAAAGGGCAATTGAATGACGTTTAGCTCCTTGCTCACAGCCACAATGAGCAAAAAAAGGAGCCGCATTGGAAGCAAGACGGAGCCATCGAATGTAGCAAATACTATTTCGCCGGCTAAAGGGAATTTCTGTAAATGTTCCAATAATGGTATTACCAATGATCGACTGGCCGGCATTGAGGACATTGCCCAGTGCGACAGCTCGGGCGTGCCGTTCATTTTGGTCGATGGTGTATGTGTGAAGTCACGACAGCAGCTGCAAGTGGCGCTGTCAAAGCGAGAAAAAAAGAATATAAAACGCATCCAGAAGAAATGCTGCGTGCTTCCTTGGTTGGATCACACGAGCCCAGCAACAGATACGGTACCTATCACAGAGTCGGAGAAAGATGCTATGGAGGAAAGTGACTTCCAGGCAGATCTGCAGCAACTACAGCTGGACATGCTGAGAGCAGAAGGAAACCCCACACCATCTTTGGCTACAGGGTCGACTACGCCTATTGCGCATGCCACCAGTGTCGAGGATCTAGTGCCGAATAGGTCAAGAATGGACGAAATCCGCGCACAACTGGAGAAGCTGCGCGAGCAGCAGCAAAGCGATCCGGTTACACCCACCCCACTGGCAGAGAAACAACGCATAAGGAGGCAAGCCACGTTTGACATTGAGCGAGATGCGCCGATTGAGACGTGTGCTTCAAGCATCTCACTAGACTTCCAGACCCCCATCCTTTCCCAACAGCGTCTGATTCGTGCCACAACGATCAGCCAATTGCCGACAATTGACACACGACGGACCTTACAAAGGATGAACAGCGCGACCTGCTTGTGCAAGAAAAGCACCTCCAGCATGGTGCTGGGAAGTAACAAGTCCTGCACATTAGAGCCTCTTAATACTCAGAGATCGCCTGTGTCACCCATTGTCAGTCAAATCGGTGATCTGCTCATGCAGTTGCCGCATCAACAGCAAGAGAATCTTCCACGAAACAGTGGACCCTACTCATATGTGGTAACCATTTCGCCTAGCGTAGGCGGCACTAGCTGCAACGTAGAGCCGCTTCCATTAACCAAAACACGCTCGCTGACGTTTCCAAATGCCTCACGCTGTGTAACTGAAACGATTAAGAGAGATTCGCCCATAGATATAGGTGCTGCCCCATCAACCCTTCAGCCCAAGTCACGAACATTCCTAAAGATGCCTAGATTATTCAAGAAAATAAAGAAGTGATTGGCAAACAATTCTGACGAGTTTATTCGCAAACGGCAGGATGAGTAGTTAGACATGATGTCTCTTGGCCATTTCATTGCTATTCAAACTTGTCGTTATTATCTATTGATCTCTCATCAGTTTCAATAGTTATTCGATTAAGATATTTCTAAATAAAAAAAAATATTTAAATGAATAAACACAATAAACACTCGCCACACAACAGACATGTGGTCAAGAGTTAACATTCTCTATTGTACGCTAGATATTAAGGTCTATGAATGAAAATTAAATATTATTTTCCTCCATATTTTTATGAACAATATATTACCCAAGCTCCCGTTTTTTATGCAAATACTAGAGACTCGCTGAGGCGAGTTCATTGGAGGCCTAATAGCTGAGCACAGTTCACCTGCCACGCACTTGTCGCACTTGCATTGCCCATTTCCGGGGCAGCAGTGCCAGGGTACAAGAATGTTTCTCATTTGAACACGTTTGCTTAATTGTGTTAAAAGATCCTTGAGCAATGTTTTGCTACTTTGCCTGAGCTCGATTCTAAAGTGCCCTCGAGCTTGACCAGCTCTGGGTTTTCGTCAGCATGGCTTTGCAGCATCTCTCATTTCCGGGCCCCTACCAAACTTATGACAGATTTGGCAAAACGTCAGCCAAGTGCTGTTGATGTTGTTCTTGTAGGACGGGCCTCTCAGTACCGAAAATAATTTGGTTGGGCTCAAATTGCAAGATTGACTGCTGCTCGGCTGGACTGCCGGCAGCGGATCAGCAACAAAGACAAAACTTTCAATTAGTTTTGATTAAATATATAAACAAAAATTCTCTGTGGTGCGTGCGTTCTTTGAGGCTTTGTCAATGAAGTTGGCCAGCAAAACCAAATTAAAAACAACATCTAAATTAATACCAAAGCTTCTAGCGAAGGGCGTGCTTGCGTTCACTCAAAGAGCTGACAACAGTTGGAAATTATTTGACTTTTTCTCGCATTTTCCCTAATAAATTTCATGATTTACTGCGACCAAACAGGAAACTACGCAGAGGACAGTCGGCAACAGCAACGAGACGTAAAAAACAATTTCGCCACATTGTATGTTTTTCTAGTCGTCGAGTGGGCGTTGGAAAGCTGCAGCTATATAAAGTTTGCAATTAGATTTGGTAAAAGTAGCCACAGCATCCGCGGGGACAAAATTCCAGCCACCCAGCAACCCCTTTGGCCACCAAACCCATGCGAGCAGCACACAGCCCAATTTTGAATGCAGAAACTTTAATCGGAACGCCGACAGCGGCGCATTTCCGGCGTTAGTTGATTTTTAGACTGCATTTCCTGCAGCAACAGCGGCAGCAACAGCGGCAGCAGCAGTAGACAGCAGCGGCTAAAACACGAGAGCACTGCGGTCGACATCATCAAATTTGCTGCTTAGCGTTTACCAAGGACGAAGGACACAGGCCGCAGGCCGCACAGCAAATGTCAGTCCAGCCCCCGCTTTAGGAAATCTGTTGCCGAGGGGCCTTTAATTGCGGGCACAGTCTGGGGATTTCTGTTTGAACCCCACTAGACCTCAATGAACTTTCACTCGGCCCGCCTTTGAGTGCATCAGAAATTACATAAATTTTTGATTAGCTCGCTTAGTAGATGTGCTGAGGCAGAATTGCGGCGGCATCTTGAACTTCCCGTTGGCTGACCAGAGTTTGACTTTAAGCATTGTTGCAGCCTCTTGAGAACCCACGTGTTAAATAATTAAACTTCTTTTATGTAAACAACAATATTTATAAAATATTTATATTTTATTTATACACCTAACCATTGTGTTAAGTCATTGCAAAATAAATAAGTCACGCAATTAGAATGCATAATAGTAATTATGCCATAAATTTCAACAGTCTTCCTACCTTATGGAAATGACTATGGCGGTGAGTTCCTGTCCCTGCATTGTTGCCGGTTGCATCGAGAAATGAGAATAAATTGCAAGTCGCCCGCGTGCTGTGTTTTGGGCTTCCGGCGTGCTCCACGCTAATGGCGGCACTGGGTACTGGCCCACGTTTACATATTTGAGTACAAGGTTGAGCACTTGATCAGCGAGTGCCAGGCGTGGGCGAGAGATATACATCCTTTGTCAATGTGTGGGTGGGTTTGTGTGCGCTTGTGCGACAGCCAAGATTAATAAAATTTATTATCATTGCGATAGTACAGCCAGCAGGCAAAACAAACTAGCAAAACACCCCACATATCTATCTGCGGGGCACACATGTATTTATGTGCCCGACACTAAACCAACAGGGAAAACATATCAAAATGAAGTAAAATTCATTTTACAGTACACACCAAGCTCAAACTGAAATTGCCATGCTGCAGAATTGCCTTGAGATCCAACAGCAGGATGGCGGAAGTTCGACGCCCAAGTGGCACCCGCGATAATAGTGCTCGGCATGTGTGCTAAAGTATTAGCATATAAACATATAAACACTCACACACACTGTCAAGCTCAAGTTGCGCATGTGTGTGTGTGTGTGTGTGTGTGGCAAGTGTGAACGAAGAACTTTTGACTGCTGTGGCGCTATCTAGAGACACATAAATATGAAAATGCAGGCGGGACACGAGAGCGGGCCGAGCTGCATGACTGCAGCCAGGAGTGCGAATGTGAGTGCTCGTATAGCCAGCATAGCCTGGCGAAAAGCGAGTACCTAGGCGCTGACTATTCGGTGCAAAAGCGTCATGCCACGCCCATAAGCAGCGCCCACACACGCGAGCACAGTCGCGCCATGCTGTAGCATTTGAATGTTATTGTCGCACACATACGAGTCCGGGAACACTCGCCCTGGACAAACCCCGAACCCGGAACAGTAACAACAATAAACACATTAGAAGCGCCACTCAGTATTTAATGGTGTTTGTGCGAAATAATAGCCCAGTACGACGCAAGACCCAGAAGCAGTACGAGCCGCTCCTCATGGCGCCGTAAATTCAAATTAAGTCGCCCAAGTTGCTGACAGTTAAAATCTTCGTGGCAAAAATGTGGAGCGCAGCCAGGAAGTCGAGGTTCGGGCTCCAGCAGCAGCGGCGGCAGCAGGCGCAGTTGCAGTTGCAGCACAAGATCAGCTGCAGGCGCTACCCAGTAGTATGTCACCATGTATATTTGTTGGTAAGTATATGTGAGCATTAGTTAGGACTAGTTTGGCTGAAGAGCGACAGGGTTTGTTTTAAATTTATTGCCCCAAAGTGCAGTCCTGAAGGCAGCACCAAAATGCAGATGGATTAAGTGCGATTTGTGTCGGAGAATGCAGTTGTGAGCAGCTGCCATATTTTAATTTTAATTAAATATTTTCCACAAGTCTCGACGCCTTTATCACGCCACAAAATGTCAAATGTTCTGGCTTGACTACATCCAGCCCCAAACTGGCCAAAGGCTAACACAATTTTAAAGAAACTCGTCGTAATAAAAAGGAGTTTTTATTATTCATTCAATTAACTTTAACCTTGTCAGCAAGAAAATAAATTTCTTTATATACACATTAAAAAAATTTCTTTATATATACATTAAGTTTAAATTAAAATTTATTGTGAGGTGAAAGGTTAAATGCATCAGCTAGTAAATAACAAACTCGGAAACTATTCTTAGATTCAGATTCGATTCCAATTAGGAATGAGTGAAAAAAGGGACAGGACACAAATTGACAGCTGAGCGCAGTAAGCAACAACTGACGCAAGGACGCCAGAGACCCAATGCATACGAGCAATAAATAGCTGACAAATGTAAAGCTGTGCAACTTTATAATGTAAGGGGCTGAGATATGGTACAATTTGCAGATTGCGGTGCTAACAATGAATCTGAGCAATCAACTAAATGGCAAAGAGCAAAACACATTAAAGCAACAAAGCTTTTTAGCGGTCTTATATGTAACGAATCATCGGGCATTACACTCAGCTGGTTGTGACAAAGGCAAACACTTGACAGGACATGAAAAAGGCTTGCCAACTGAAATGCTATTAGAAAGTATGGGTGTGCATATGGGTGTATGTGTGCGTTTGAGTGCGGGCGAGTGCAAACAAAAGCCCCAGAGGCTTTTAAAATATACAACTAAGCGGCACACGAGAAGGCGACGGAAAAGCGCACAAGAAACGCCACTCTACATACCAAATTGTAAATATTTTCCTATAAAACAGCAGTCGGTCTTACCTGTTTGCCGGGAAAGCGAAACTGTCATCCCCTTGCCAGGCCGCCGACCATGGAAACGCATCGAGTGTGAATGAAGTGAGCACTTGTGCGTTTTGCGGCGTTTTAGAGCTGTAAAAAAAAAAAACAAAATAAAGCGAAAAATGTATACAACAAAAAATACACGAATGTCACTCGAAATGTTTTTACATTTACTGTGACACTTTGCGGCACCCATTTGATGGTCGTCTGGCAGCGGCTGTTGCAGGTGGAGCTGTTGTGTCAGAGTTCACGTTGCCACTGCCATTGCCTAATGGTAGCTCATAATTGCGTTATGCTGTTTTTAGCATTTGAATTGTGAGTATCGTTTTTTCTGCTGCTGCTCTTGCTGTTGTTGTTGTTGTTGCCGTTGTCGCAAACAGTCAAGTGCAGCAGCGTGCAACAAATGTTCAATGCAAAGGCAAGCACTAAAGCCGCAGCTGCAAACTTCAAGTGGCGTTTGCCGTTGTTGCAGCGCTTCAGAAAGTGGCTTCAGCTTAGGCTTTGGCGCATTAAAAACTTTACTCACCGGCAGGCTGGTCTGCCATGTCCCACGCTGAAGGCCACTTGCATGGCGGTGATATTAAAAGCCGTTTTTCAGATGTACTTTATGTTATTCTATTCCAACTTTTGTGCACTCGAGCATGCAACATAAACAACGTACTTTCTTGAATCAAATTATTGTGGATGGTGCCCTTTTAAAGGTGGGTAAGGAATTAAGAGCAGTTTGTTGATTAGAAATCATTTGAATAGAATTCTAGGATTAACATTTACCTCAAATCTAATAAATAATATATTTATACTCTTTGTAGCTACATTTTCATTTACCGCAAGTTTTCTTCTGTTAACCTATAGCAAACGACTATTGCAAAAAAGCAAATCGTTTAGGAAATATTAAATTTAAGACATGCTGCTAAGAAACTGGCAATTTAATATTAAGTATACGTCAAGTGGCCTGCCAACTGGCTGGCTCTGGCTTACTTGAACTTCTTGTTTCTCTGCATATCTGG